AAATAAGCTTAGCTGAATAATAAGCACTCTCGGATCTAGCAAATAAGCAATTGCAGGCCAGCAATGACAATGCCACCAGGATGCGGCGGGCTGATATCTGGCACACGAAAGCCTATAAAATGACGCAAACCCCGACGACGGCACTGCAAACTGGCGACTGTGAACGGCAATTAAATAAGTTCGCTTGCCACCGCTGCCTTGCGGTTAGGCTATTGAGCCAAAACGCTAGAAGAGAAAACCTGGAACAAACAATCCGTGCGGCTGTTGGGGACACGCCCACAGTCCCAATTCCCAAAAAACTCACGAAAACTGTCCAATAACTGCACTACAGTTCATGCTGCGGCATCAGCAAGAACCGACGTGCATCGCGACTCTGGTCCAGTAGTGTGGGCGAATAGTATGCGAGTTGGACTAGTCAATCAGTATCGGACCCTTCGTATTAGATTTTGGAATGTTCAAATATTCCTGGCCCCTGGTACCCAAAGTCTGACGTTACGCAGCCTTTATCAGCCTAAGGTAACGGGTGGATGAAATTCCCTTTATGTAGTATATATTGGCCTCAAGAAGGCATTCAATAGTATCCCACATCAATGACTTCTACAGAAACTCAGCCGAACAGGTGTTAGCGGAAACCTCCTGGAATGGATTCGTAGCTTCCTATTTGGCCGCTCTGAAGCTGTCCATTTCAGTGACCAGCAGTCGGAAGAGTTTGCAGTTGAAAGCGGTATTCCCCAGGGCTATGTTCTCGGTCCTACACTGTTCAGTATATACATCAGTGACTGCGTCCGCGAATTGGATTGTGATTCCTTATATTTGCCCATTATATCAAGATTTGGAGCATCATCAGAAATGCAGCTAACGAAGAGTATTTGCAGGCAAACCTAAACCGACTTCAAACTTGGTCTAAGGACTGGCATTTGCAGTTTAATGAGAACAAGTGCGGTATCCTACAAGTTGGCCGGCCCAGCCCTCAGAATCCCATGGTTTACTGTCTGAATTGTATCCAACTGCAAGATGCGTACGCGCAGAGATTTAGGATTGTAAACTATGCAAAACAAGTTTGGAATGTCCGTCCTGTGCCTTGTCAAACGGACCTTCTCTGCCTCTGATGAAGAGTACTTGGCTAATATATTTGGAGCATATGTGCGACTAAAACTGGAGTTCGATATCCAGGCCTGGAGACCCTGGACAGCGGAAGAACTCGCATCCCTCGAGAGGTCCAAAGGGGAGCAACAGAACCTGTGATCGGACAGGGCTCATTACCCTATGAAACAGGTTTGTATAATCTTGATGCATTTCCCTTGAGTTAAACGGCAGCTACTTGGTGAACTGGTGCAAACATTTCGTGTGATGCGCGGTCAGGACTTCTGCCTCCTACACGGCGACGCCTTCGAGTTAGCAACAGCTACGAATTCAAGAGGTCATCCATTCGAAATACGTGGGACTGGGACGAGGCTGAACACACGAAAGTTGTCTTGTAATACGGCGGTCGAATCTGGGAATGCGCTGCCCTTGGGTGTTTTTGTGCCCGCTTCCGATAAAGTCTTAAAGAGGAAGCTAGATTGGTATAGACATACGCACTCTAACACCGGGCAACCTATATAGTCTTGTCAAAGGCGACAAAATGCAGTATTCTAATAGCATTGCTTGCTACTTTTGGGAAAAGTTTGTTTATGCAATTATTTTCTGCGTTAAGTTCATCTCCTATGCATGCATCTTCCTTATGTCGAACAGCAGCGGATCGCTCAC